GCAAGTCGTGTTGCAAACTGCATTAGCAAGTGCATACGGCGTAAACATTTTTGGTAGCAGAGCGTGGTTTTTTCGGTCTCAACGGGAGGCTCGGTGAGCGTGGTGCATGGGCAATTTTATTAAATATTTATTATATATAGATACGTTCTATCCACAGTCTCGATTTGTAGGCCGTTAGTGCGATTATCCTGGTATCAAATCTTATCGGTATTAACTTTAATTGTCCTATTTAATTTATCTCCGTATTATTATTATATTAACTCAGTACAGTATATTTTATCTTGGTGATTATGGGGAACGATGAGCAGCAGCGGGTAGAGCGGTGGGTCCGATCGAAATTATTCGCCGAGGCAAAGCGGAGGGCCGCGATATCCGCTATTCGAGCGATACATGCATTAGCTTTACGCGCGGTCAATGAACCCGATTTAGTTTCGGAATTTTTAATAGCAGCATCTGATTTGGAAGGTCACTGGGCTCAATTTAAATCAGAAGATGAGTCTGTCTTAGAGCATTTAATTAATCTCGATAAGTCTGATGACTATTCGGCGGATTTGCCGACCGAAGTACGTGGTCTAATTATTGCAGCGCGTTCGGTCGCGGACAGGCTGACCCCGAAGGGGGCGGACGCAATCGACTTATCATACTTAAAAAATAATTTACCGTCATCCGATGTTCCAATTAACCAACCTGTTCCGATGAAACAATTCTCTCGGCTTCCCGACATTCCGTTGCCCCAGTTCGACGGTGACTATCGGTATTGGTCGACCTTTTGTGACGCCTTTGATGCGTTGGTTGAAAATAGGCCCAATATATGTGACGTTGATAAATTACATTATTTAATGGGGTGCTTAAAAGGCCGTGCGGCAGATGCCGTAAGAGGGATACCGTTGTCTGCTCAAAATTATTCATTAGTGCGATCTACGCTGGCGGAGCGGTTTTATCGTCCGCGATTAGTGGCTATGTCTTTGGTGGACCAGTTATTAGGCACCTCACCCATTAAACAGGAGTCCCTGTCCGAATTAAATAACTTTATGTGTTCATTCACTGAAAATATGTCGTTGCTTAATGCGCTAAACATTCCGGATTTGCATTCGTTTATTTTATTTTCGGTTGCTTTTCGTTGTTTACCGGTTTCAACCCGTAAATTGTTTGAAACAAGCACTATATCCGATTATCCGACAATTGACGAGCTTATGAAGTTTATACGAAATCGCGTAGCTGTATTGGAGATAGTAGGCGAACCCCGTGAGTATAGCCCATCCACCGCGCAACCTAAATCGACGTCACAATCGAGTCCATTTTTAAAGGGAGCACATAGATCCGGGAAACCAAAGTTGTTCTCCCACCCCACCACGTTAGTCGCAACCAAGCTGTCTAATCCCACAAGTAATATTTGTCCTTGTTGTAATGGCACGCACGGTTTGGACACTTGTACTAGATTTAAGTCTTGGGCTGTTGACGATCGCGCTCGTTGGACACGTGAGCATAAATTGTGTTTTAATTGTTTTAATACAGGTCATTGGGCTCCTAAGTGTGCCTCTAAGTCGCGTTGTCAAGACTGCTCTCGGAGGCACCACAACCTCCTTCACCCACCTGGAAATATTTCTCAAAGGAATGGTGAAGCATCGCCATCGGATGTAGTATTATGCGCGTCGGCACCACCGCCAACAGTGTGCAAAGCTGCTTCGGTATTGTTAGGAACGGCGTTGATTCATGTTCGAGATAGGGCGGGTTCATGGCAGACCTTACGCGCACTAGTTGATTGCGCGTCGCAAATTAGTGTAATAACCGCCGCATGCGTCGATCGGTTGGGACTTAGGCGCGAACGTTGGACAACACCCGTGACAGGTCTTTCTGGTGTTTCAATTATGGATGTCCAGGGCCGGGTAGATTGTGTGATACAGCCGCGATATTCCAACGAGCCCATGTTGTCAGTGCAAGCTTGGGTGCTGCCATCCATCACTAGTGATCTCCCTAGGAATACTTTACCGGTGGATATAAGAGATCGATTCTCAAATCTAGCGTTGGCCGATCCGTCGTTCCACATTACTGCTCCGATTGATTTGCTGTTAGGAGGAGATGTGTATGCTACTATAATGGACGGGCGCAAAATCACTGTCGAAAAAAATCTTCCGGTTGCCTTTAGTTCAATTTTCGGGTGGATTTTAATGGGTTCTATTTCCGATGGCAAATTAGAACCACTTTATTCGTTGCCAGTGTCCCTTACCGTTTCCCTAGAGGGACTCATGTATCGGTTTTGGGAAGTCGAAGAGCCTGAGGTTGCTCCGGAGGCCTTCACCGATAATGGGCGATGTGAACAAATTTTCCGGGACAAACACGTGCGTTTACCATCGGGCCGTTTCGCCGTACCATTACCTTTCCGTGCACCCGTCTCAGACGATACATTTGCTAGATCCCGTGAGACAGCATTAAAACGGTTCGAATCATTAGAACGAAAGTTAGCCACCGATTCTAAACTCAAATCGTTGTATAAAGATTTTATGGCTGAGTATCTCGCCTTAGGTCACATGTCGGTTGCAAAAACTCCCGGGCAGTATTATATTCCTCATCACGCAATATGTAAAAATGTAGGTGAAGATACTAAAATTAGAGTAGTCTTTGACGCATCTGCGAAGGATCATTCCGGAATGTCATTGAATCGTGCATTGCTTCCTGGACCAAAGCTACAGCGTGACATAGTTGATATTCTTATTCGTTTTCGTTTATTTCGCCACGCGTTCACGGCTGACATTTGTAAGATGTATCGTCAAATTCTAATTTTACCTGAATTCCGCACTTACCAGCATATATTGTGGCGTGATTCACCGTTCGATCAAGTAGTGGACTATGAACTCAACACGGTAACATATGGGGTAAATTGCGCCCCATTTCTAGCGCTCCGCGTGTTACGAGCCATAGCTGATAGTGATGGCATGTCATTTCCACGAGTTCGGGACGCGTTATATCACCAAACATACGTAGATGATATTTGCTATGGGGCGGACACTATCACTGAAGCAGTCGCAGTTCAGTCGGAATTGAATTTAGTTCTTGCGCGGTCGGGTCTTGAGCTACGTAAATGGTCGAGTAATACCCATGCAATATTGCATGCTATGCCAGCTGATCATTGCGTCGTGAAATCTATGTCATTCGCTGACGACGATAGCATAGGCACAAAAGTCCTCGGCATACATTGGCATCCGAACGATGACTATTTTAGTTGTGAACTCCGTTTAGAAGGGTCGCCGACATTCACGAAACGTGGCATTTTATCGTTAACGGCCCAATTTTTTGACCCCTTAGGTTTTTTCGCTCCGGCGATTTTTTTGGCTAAATACATTATGCAACGCACATGGCAGACAGCGTGTGAGTGGGATGGCCCGTTGCCATGCGACATTCGCACCGATTGGGCACAATTCGTGTCTCAGTTGCCACAACTTTCGACCATCCGCATTCCGCGGTTTTGTAATACTCCTCCGGGCACACCATGTTTTTTATATGGATTTTGCGACGCGTCGTTACGGGGATACGCGGCTGTTGTCTATTTGCGTGTAATCAACGCACCCCGAGATTCGTCTGTATTTCTTGTCGGCACAAAAACTAAATTAGCCCCAATTAAACCTTTAACCGTGCCACGTTTGGAATTGAACGCCGCCCTGTTGCTCATTCGTTGGTTAAATCGTGTAAAAGTGGCTTTAGGGGACCGCGTTAACATTGTGGACACTTTTGCGTGGACAGATTCGTTAGTGGTGCTATCATGGTTAACTATCCCCCACGAAACTTTCAAACAATATGTGTCGAACCGGGTACATCAAATTCAAACCGTCCTGCCAAATTGCCATTGGAGATATGTGCCGTCAATCGATAACCCTGCCGATTGCGCATCACGTGGCTTGACGCCGTCGGAATTGCCCCAATTTATGTTATATTGGCTCGGCCCACGGTTCATTAAGGACCTTCCGAATGAATGGGGGAGGGATAGGGATCGTTTACCGTGCTCCGACTTGCCTGAAGTCCGATCCATCACCCTTTTAGTGCAATCTAAAGACCCCCTGTCCGAGTGGTTTACGCGCTTTTCATCATACGATAATATGATTCGAGTAGTTGCCTGGATGCGTCGGTTTTTACTAAAAAGCCGTCGCCGTTCTGATGAGGTGACCCGTGTCCTCACGCGTGATGAGCTCGAAGACGCATTACGCACTATTGTTCTTAGTTCACAACGTTCTTCTTTTGCCGAACTTCGCGGTGAGTTGCTCAAACATACCTGCGTGTCTTCGAAGCCGATCGCACGGCTATGCCCGTTTATCGATGACCAGGGAGTCATTCGCGTAGGAGGCCGCTTAAAAAATTCTAATTTACCTTTTGATAGCAAACATCCAATTCTGTTAGCTAAAACATCCTATTTATCGACGTTAGTCTGCCGACGGTGGCATAAGTTAACGTGTCATTCGGGGCCACGCGTTATGTCCGCGATGATACGCCGACAGTTTTGGGTGGTGTCGCTTCGATCTGTTATTTACACCATTTTAACACAATGTACGGTGTGTGTTCGCCTTGACGGTCGTAACCCGCAACCACTGATGGGCGATTTACCCACAGCGCGCGTGCAGCAGTGCCGCGCTTTTACCCGGGTGGGCGTGGACTACGCGGGTCCATTGTCGATGCGCGAATTACGGTTGCGCAAATCGCGCACGTACAAGGTATATATTGCGATTTTTGTGTGCTTTGCCGTTAAAGCCGTCCACTTAGAACTCGTCTCGGATTTATCTACCGAGGCTTTCATGGCAGCCTTTGATCGGTTTGTGGCTAGACGCGGCATGCCCAATGATGTATTTTCGGATTGTGGCACAAATTTTGTAGGCGCCGCGCGACAACTACGTGAATTAATCAACAGCCCCCCATCACAAGGCGTGATTACTTCAACAGCCATGTCGTGCTCGTGGCATTTTAACCCCCCTGCGGCCCCTCATTTTGGTGGGCTATGGGAAGCCGCAGTACGCTCAGCAAAAAGGTTGTTGACCCGAGTTGTTGGGTCACACGTTTTGACATATGAGGAATTTAGCACAGTCTTATGTCGCGTAGAGGCCGTCCTAAATTCGCGACCGCTAACTCCAGCTTCATCTGATCCGCATGATCTCGAGTGTTTAACACCTGGGCATTTTCTCGTCGGTCAACCTCTACTCGCTGTGCCTCCTCGGTCACCCGCTTTCCCAAATCGATCTATAATTAGTCGATGGAAATTATTAAATCAGTGTCACCAGACCTTCTGGCACCGATGGTCTGCCGAATATCTCCATACGCTTCAAGCACGGGTTAAATGGACGGATAATCGTCCCAATGTCAAAATTAATGATATGGTAGTTATACGGGACCCTCTGGCGCCGCCGTTAGAATGGCGACTTGGTCGCATTACTGGTGTCGAACCTGGGGCCGACGGAGTGGTCCGGGTTGTGCATGTGTTGACATCCCGTGGCGTTATTACCCGTCCAGTAGTAAAAGTGATAGTGCTTCCTATCGCAGACAATTAATTTTCAACTGCAACTATATCTTATATTTTCTTTTATTATTATCTATTCCTGTTGGTCGCATTGATTACCTATGATGATATTCTATGCATGGACATAAGTTCTTCCGCTTTACCGTACACCACGTTGAACCTCCCACGCTATTTTGGCATTTAATATTATATGAGCGCGACACTACACGCGGGGTGTTTGGTAATGAATTATATAAGTTATAAGATTTTGTATTCTAATTGTCATATTTAGATATATTTATTTTGTGTAATTTTATATGTTGTAATATTTCATGTCATATGTACTTTTATATTAATTATTGTAAATTCGATGTTCACCATATGTGTCAATTATTATTCGTTTATATATATATACTGGTTCTATGTTGTTAACAATAACCGTCGTCACCCAAAGCTGATTCGACATCCACCTATGTACCATCGTTCCCGCGTCATCGACGACTTCGCTCTCCATGATATGTGAGGCTAAGCCTCCCATAGGGGGAGGATGTTTAAACATAAGATTTGGCGCCGCAACATTGTGCTCGGGTGCGCT